ATTTTTTTAAGCGTCCATAAATAAAAACACATTTTTAGTATTTTTTAAATCTGTTTATTTGTTTTATTTCAATAAAAGAAGAAGCTACACAGAGAAATTACTCAACTACATACACTATTTACTTAATAGTACTTAATACAATGGTAGTGTAGTGATGAACGATGTCAGGCTCAGCTGGATATTTCTTTCAGAAATTGCTCAAACCTACCAGGCATCCAGAACAGGTAGATAGAAAATTTAACTAATTGGAAAACTGCGGGCTTTTAGCTCCGTAAAATGTACCAGGGTTGATATTCCGAACAACATTTTTGAGCTCATATCAGGAAATAAATTTCAAAAAATTCAACATAAGTGTTTTTATAGTCCTTTAAGAAAGATGGCTGCTATAAAAATACACTAAGGCTGCTTATTTAAAGAAATGTCGTGGGTCTCAGGGCCATCATAATGAAATAAAAAATTGGACATTGGTAGGGAAACAGCAAATTTTATTTCGAAAACTTAGTTAAGGTTCTAAATAATTTTTACATAACAAAATTCAAATTTTTTAAATTTAAATTATAATTAAATCACGAAATAGCCAGACTTCCTACCTTTCACATGGCACATTTTTTTACAATATCTGCAGTAGTTCAACAGTTATGTCAAAAAATCCACGACATTAAATTTTCCATTTATGATTCAACTACTGCATCAACAGATGACGCTGCGGTTGCAAAATAACAAGGTCGTTAAGGAAATTTAAGTCGGTATATATCTATATTAATAAAAGAGTAAGGAATATCCCCTTAAGTGGGTCGATTATACAGTCATAACATTGAAGAAACGGACTGTGATAGCATTTTGACAGAGTCAGAATTTTTATAAAAACCAGTAAGGAAAGTAGTAAAGTCGGACGGAACCGACTATATGATACCCTTCACCACTTTGGGTATATTCAACATATGAATCCTAAAAGACGTCGCATTTATGACGGATCAGTAAAATTAAATTGGATCCATAAACATCTCATTCTGCAACCTATATTCATTTTGTCAGATATAGAGTTGCTTCTTACAATGGGAAAAATTATATAAATAAATTTACAGAAAATACCAATCGGACTATTTGGATAAATATCTAATAAACCTCCTCATGTTTTTGTTTAGTGCACCTCAATCGGATAAATATTGGCAGTATGTAGCTTCATTTACATAAAATGGAACGAAACTATATATAGCAGTTATGTCTTAATCAGAACCGATTCCAACAAAATTTCACATACATCAGTCGGGACCTAATTCAGTACTCTGTGCAAAATTTTGCTTTAGTCGGACCACTATTGGGAGTTTGGTGGACTATTTACATTAAATCGGACGAAACTATAAATCGAAGCTGTATCTAAATCTGAACCGATTTCAACAAAACTTGGCATATAACTATCTAGGCATAATTTAATACTCTGTGCAAAATTTTGTCTCAATCGGAACACTATTGATAGTTTGGTGCATCAATAAGTTAAAATCGGACGAAAATATATATGGGAGCTATATCTGAATCTGAACCGATTTTCTCCAATTTCAATAGGGTTCGTCCTTGGGCCTAGTAAGTGATCTGAGCCAAATTTCATCCAAATCGGATCATAAATGGGACCTGTATTTTGTTAACAAAAATACATGGACGGACGGACAGAGGGACGGATATGCATAAATCGACTCAGAAAGTGATTCTATGCATATTCTCGAAAGGAACCATGGGTCTACTTCGATTTTTTTCCTGTTACAAACATATGCACAAAGATACAATGCCCTGTACCACAGTGTGGTGAAGGGTATAAAAAGGGGGTTATATGTGGACTACCCCTAACAGGGGGCGAATATTAATAATTTTTGGGAGGGAGGTTTGTTACCATATACGACTACAAAAAAACAAAATACCAAAAAATTGATTGAAAACAACCTCAAGAACCCCAAAATACCGAAAACTGGGAGGTACACTTATATGGGGGCTACCCGAAAAATGGGTCTAATAAGAAGATGTAATAAATTACAGTCAATTCGGTCGAAATACCAAAAATTTGGGGGTACCGTTATATGGGGATTACCAGAAAAACTGTACCAATATTTACAATTTTTAGTGGAGTAATTTGGTTGGTACCCAATAAGAACCCAATGTACAAAATTTCAGAGAATTCAGTTATAAAACGAGCTCAAGAACCCCAAAATACCGAAAATTGGGGGTACCCTTATATGGGGACTATCCGAAAAAATGAACCTATATTTATAATTTTTAGTAGGGAGATTTGCTACCTAATAAGAACTCAAAGTACCAAATTTCAGCGAATTCGGTCGAAAAATGCGATCAAAACCCCCAAAATACCGAAAATTGGGGGTACCCTTATATGTGGACTATCCGGAAAAATGGACCTATATTTATAATTTTTAGTAGGAAGATTTGCTACCCAATAAGAATTCAAAGTACGAAATTTCAGCGAATTCAGTTAAAAACGCGCTAAATAACCTAAAAATACCGAAAATTGGGGGTACCCTTATATGGGAGCTATGCCTTACCGTGGACCGATTTTCTCCAATTTCAATAGGGTTCGTCCTTGGGCCAATTAAGTGACCTGTGCCAAATAAATGCGACCTGTACTTTGTTAACAAACCTACATGGACGGACGGACAGGCTGACATGCATAAATCGACTCAGAAAGTGATTCTATGCATATTCTCAAAAGGAACCATGGGTCTATCTCGATTATTTTTGCCTGTTACAAACATATGCACAAATACATAATACCCTGTACCACAGTGTGGTGAAGGGTATAAATATGTCGGAGCTATGTTTAAATCTGAACAGAATCTTAGCACAATCATTCTAGACGTAATTCAGTACACTATGCCAAATTTCGTGCAAATTGAAAGATATATAGATACATGGTGTACCAACCATTTACTTTAAAACGGACGAATATATATGGGAGCTATATCTAAATCTGAACCGATTTTCAGGAGACTTAACACGTCATTCTAGACCTAATTCATTACGCGGTGCCAAATTTCGTGCAAATCGAAAGATATATAGGGACTTTGGTGCACCATTTATGTTAAATCGGACGAAAATATATATGGGAGCTAAATCTAAATTTGAACCGATTAAACAATGTTTCCAAAAGGATAATAGCTAAAAGATCACCTTTTATAATAGTAAAAATATGAAATGGCGGTGTGTAATAAAACTTCAGAATTTCCTCTAATCATATCTGAAAACTTTATAAAAATCGGTTTAGTAGTTGCCGAGATATTTGTATTTCAATTCAACGATGGTCCGAAATACACCACCTGCTCGATTCTGGTCGCCTATTACCTGAAAATGAAAAACCACACAAAAATCGGTCTTGTTAAAAAAGCAAAAATTCTTTTCATAATGTCTGCTGTTGTATGAAAATTATAGCATTCCTGTAGGTGCAAAAGGCAGTTCGAGGTGAAATTTTCATGTTGCTTGATATGTATGTGATTAGGTGTGATTGTATGTGATTTATGCACATTTGCAATGTAAAATATATTTACTTACACACATACACCGTTGCTGATGAAAAAAATTCTATTTTTGCAGGATCGATTTTTGTGGCGTTATTCATTTTTTGGTAATAATCGCCTAGGATCGGTATTGTAATAATATTGATGTCATATGAAAGGTCGGAAGTCTGACTATTCCGTGATCTATTTACAAAAGTTTTCAAAATACAATTTACCGATTCTATGGCAAAGACCAATATTTATCCTTTTATTTGTGTTAATAGAGCTAGTTACAGGCCAGTTACAGGCCGATTTGGATGAAATTTGGCACGGTTTTCTTATTTGGACCAAGGACGAACCTTATTGAAATTGGAAAAAATCAGTTCAGATTTAGATATAGCTCCCATATATAGTTTCGTCCGATTTTATGTAAATTTTGCACCAAACTCGCAGTATTTGTCTGATTGGGACACAATTTTGTACATAGTACTGAATTAGCTCCAGATTGATGTCTGCGAAGTTTTGTTAGAATCGGTTCAGATTTGGATATAGCTCCCATATATAGTTTCGTCCGATTTAATGTGAATTATGCACCAAACTCCCAATATTTGTCCGATTGCGACAACATTTTGTATCCGATGTATCCGAAGTTTTGTTGGAATTGGTTCTGATTTAGATATAGCTCCCATATATACTTTCGTCCGATTTAATGTAAATAGTGAACCAAAGTCCCTATATATCTTTCGATTTGGACGAAATTTGACTAGCTTACTGAATTGAATCTAGAATGATGTCTGCTAAGTTTTGTGAAAATTGGTTAAGATTTAGATATAGCTCCCTTTAATATGTTTGTTCGATTTTATGTAAATAGTGTACGAAAGCCTCTACATTTCTTTCAATTTACACGAAATTTGGCATAGCATACTGAATTGTGTCTAGAATGATGTGTTTTAAGTTTCGGGAAAATCGGCTCAGATTTCGATATAGCTCCCATATATATTTTCCTCCGAATACCTCCTCCTAGAATGTGTAAAATGTGTGCATATTTAAAAAAAAATATTTCTGATTACAATTGTTATACCTTACATTTTTTAACCGAATAGAAACTAATTTTCTGTACTTTACCATGGCATAACCAAGTAGAACGATTGCAGGCTTTTTAAATGTACACCTCATGGTGGAGGTTATACTTCGACCCGGCCGAATTAAACGACGTTTTTACTCCACAATCTGACGTTACATTTCAAATATGATTCAAACATTCGATATTTTAATTATATTAGTTTATTTTTCATTATCAGATTTTGATTAGTTAGTTATCGCAGCCACCCAAAACATACATACTCAGCACGTTTTACGCTCTTTTAGTGATAACGATAAAGAAAACGACAATTTAGCACTTTATTTTTTAAAATATATATAATTTTTCTTCATACAAAATCACAAAATATATTACATTACATTAGCATACTTAATCGAAAAAATTAAATAATTTAAAAATAAAAAAAATTACCACACCTCACGACAACGACCACGACTGTCAGGCAAATAGCCAGGTTGACATGGGAAATCGATCATTGCCACGGGGCTGGCTTTAACGTGGGCAGTAGCCTCTTTCTCTTCCTGATATTCTTGGGCAACGAGTTCTTCATTAAATTGCACACAATAGAATCCCTTGCGAATACCTCTCTTTTGGTTGTTGCAGACCAAGCTATCGACGCAAGATTTCAGGCATGGTTTGGGTACTTCAGCATTTTGTAGTTTCACTTTACACTTGAAATGATATTCGCAACCTGGTTCAAGTGCGGGAACATTATTGGCAATAATGTAACCCCTTTTATGGGGTGCCACTGTTGTTGTTTCCGTATCACATTTCACCAGCGCCACCAATGCAGCCAAACTTAAGAAAACTATCACCAGCGTTGATTTAGACATTTTTTAATGATGCTGTTTTTGCCTCGTTTGAGATTAAGTGTTTCGATGAGAGCCCCCGACAAGACTGTGATCGAATTTTAGTCTGTTTAGTTGTCTGACTATAAAATCGTATTTAATTTTTTATATTTATTTCAAATGTAGTGTGATATTTGTTTTTGGTGTTCCCAGTACTGATAACCTTTTGAACTATTCTGTGATTTGAGTTCTTGTTGGGCAATTATACGCACACACAAACATACAACAACATTTATTGTCATATTAAAATATCTGTATGTATTTTCTAGAATTAACAAAAAAGATGTATATGCATTTTTGGGAAAGGGGATTTTTTTCAAATATGGAAATTTGTATACCTATTATTAAAATAGGAATTCTAATAGCTGGGTCATGGGTATTTTTCTGCTAGTGTCAAGCATAAATCTGTTATAACTCATTTTACAATTAGTATACGGCTGTTTTTAACAATGTTTATATTTATTTGAATTTAATTTGCCATTTGTCACATTATCTTAAAAATACACTGAAAGAAATACCAATAAATAATCTTACGGAACATGGAGCTTCGCATGGCAATATAATACTTAGATATTATTAAATAAAATACAATGTATGATACGATTTTGTAAGGTCGATAATTCCTATTGGGGTCAGGGATGGTCCGTGTGACGAATTTTTTGGTTTTCGACTGTCAAAAAGGTGTAAACGTCGAAAACGTCATATACTTGTATAAAATGTAATAAATGTAGTAAACGTCATTTATTTCAATATTATCAGCATATACACTTATTTTCAAGAATACATATTATTTTTACATATATCTCACTATACCTTGCTAGAACTGGTAAAAATTACTAAATTTTTTTGAGATGAAAATTTTGAAATTTTATTTTAATTTGAGTTAAGCATGCGTAATATCCAGATTGATTAATGGAAATTGCTATTTTGTCAAAAACCTAATGGATTTGAGTAGGTTTCCGACGTTTCTGACGTATGTATTATACATCGGAAATGTATGTCATTTACGTCACTGTTTCTGACAGGCCATCTCTGATTGGGGTTGAAAGGCTTTGGTGAGTATATAGTATAGTATATATATGAAAACCCCATATATATATATATATATATATATTCTTGGTCAGGGTAAAATTACAAGACGATCTAGCCATGTCCGTCCGTCTGTTGTAATCACGCTATCTTCTGAAGGAATTGAGATAGGGTGCTGAAATTTTACATAGGGTTGTCTTTTGTCTCCAGGCAGGTTAAGTTCGAAGATGGGATATATCGGTCCACGTTTAGGCATAGCTCCCATATAACAGTACCTCCCCTCCCAATTTTCGGTATTTTGGGGTTCTTGATCTAGTTTTTCGACCGAATACGCTGAAATTTGGTACATTGAGTTCTTATTGAGTACTAAATGTCTCCACAAAAAAATTATAAATATAGGTCCACTTTTTCTGCTAACCCCCACATAACGGTATCTACTAATTTTCAGTATTTTGGGGGTTTTTGATCGCATTATTGCACCAAATTGGCTGTAATTTAGTATTTTGAGTCCGTAATAGGTTTTTCGGATAGCCCCCATATAAAGGTACGCCCAATTTTCGGTATTTTGTGCACTTTTTCTGGTAGCCCCCATATAACGGTACCTCCTAATTTTCAGTATTGTGGGGTTTTTGAATGTATTTTTTCACCGAATTGGCTGTAATTAAGTATTTTGAGTTCTTAGTAGGTACCAAACCTCTACACAAAAATTATAAATATAGGTCAATATTTTCGGATAGCCCCCATATAAGGGTGTTCTTGAGCGCGTTTTTCAACTGAATTCGCTGCACTAATTTCGGAAAAAATAATAAGATGGGCTAAGTGTGGATTGAATTTTGAAACAAATTTGTTCCAAAGAAACATGGTCTAAAACCAACATTTAGGACCATAATCGGTTTGTAGAAATGTCGGTATAGGTACACTTTTTGGTATGTTCCCTATATTTTTATTTCAAGTACCTGTCAGTATATCTATGGTGGAGGGTATCTAAAGTTCGGCCCGGCCGAACTTAACGCTATTTCACTTGTTAAAATTTTAACCGATTTATGTTTGAAATCCTTTTGTCCAAAAAACATTTAATACCATAGTGCACATTAATTCATTAGGTTGGAAAACTGCACTAAGAACTGGAACGGAGCAATCATTACGTGGGGCATTTTTATAGGAGCCATAAAGAACATGATAGAAATTTCTGCAATAAATTTTCGTATTCACAAGACATTCGGAATTCTAAATTACCACCACTTTGGTGCTCAAAACTTCAAAATACCTAAAATGAGTCGGTTTTTCTGTTTGTGGGGGGTTATTTCAAAAGTTGGACCTACCCTGAAAATCATATTCTTGACGATACGAGTAATGTCACATTATGACATTTTTTGGTAAAAAGGCTAACATTTACAAAGTTCCCAAAATAAAGCAGAAACATTTATGTGGGGACTATGTCAAATCGAAAATTTAAGGCAAAACTTTTTCTCACTCGTCAATAACCTTAAAAACCAAATTATAGCAATTTCATTGGAAAACATGACGACAATATGAAACATTATAAATGCTGACAATAACCGGGACCTATATAAGGAATGCCAAATTATAGCCACTTCATTGGGAAACCCGCAAAATGGCGACAATGAGCGTAGCCTTCATATGTAGGCTGTTCCAAAACCTGGGCATATATCGCAACATTTTGTACAACCATTTTACACCCTTGAAGAAAACGGATTGGTGCCATCCAAAAAGTGGACCTATATTTATAATTTTTAGTAGGAAGAGATGGTATCTTACTCTCTGAGAAAGTAATATACATAAAGTTTCGTAAATCTTTATATCTCTTAACTTCTTAGAGAACCGAAATTCATATACGGAACCTTAACATATTTTGCAATTTCCTCTTCGGTAAGGACAATGAACATTCTGAAGAGGGAAGGAATATTTATGCAGGGAACAGGGAACATTGACTTATTTTGGCACAAATTTTAAATACGATTTTCGACGATTTTTTTTGGGACAGACCAATATATCAATTTTAAGCACCAACCAAATTAATCTCTATCTTAACTATATTAATCTATATCGTGGGATATTCAAAGATTACTTCGAGGTTTTGCTAACAGAAAGTATAATTATACCCTTCACCACGCTGTGGTACAGGGTATTATGTATTTGTGCATATGTTTGTAACAGGCAAAAGGAAAAGAGATAGACCCATAGTTCGTTTTGAGAATATGTATATAATCACTATCTGAGTCGATTTATGCATGTCTGTTGGTGTTAAATTGTAAACAAAGTACAGGTCGCATTTATACTCCGATTTGGATGAAATTTGGCACAGCTCATTTGTTTGGCCCAAGGACGAACCCTATTGAAATTGGGAAAAATCGGTTCAGATTTAGATATAGTTCCCATATATATTTTCGCCCGATTTAAGGTAAATGGTGCACCAGAATCCCTATATATGCTTCGATTTGCACCAAATTTGGCACAACGTACTGAATTGAGCCTAGAGTGATGTCTGCCAAGTTTCGAGACAATCGGTCCAGATTTAGATATAGCTCCCGTATATAGTTTCGTCCGATTTTATGTAAATGGTGCACCAAAGTCCCTATATATCTTTCGATTTGCACCAAATTTGGCATAACGTAGCCTAGAGCGATGTCTGTCAATTTTTGTAAAAATCGGTCCCGACTTAGATATAGCTCCCATATATTGTTTCGTCCGATTTAATGTAAATGGTGCACCAAAGTCCCTATATACCCTTCGATTTCCACGAAATTTGGCATAACGTATTGAATTGAGCCTAGAGTGATGTCGGTCAAGTTTCGTGAAAATCGGTCAAGATTTAGATATAACTCCCATATATATTTTCGTCCGATGTAATGTAAATTTAGTCCAGAATGTTGTGTGCCAAGTTTCGTAAAAGTCGGTTGAGATTTAGATATAGCTTCCTTTTATTACAGATTGATTTTAGGTAATTGACACACCAAAACAAAACGTACTAAAATTAGTATAACCTAGCCTGTGACAAGTTTCGTTGAAATCGCTTCATATTTGGATATAGCTTTCATATATATTTTCGCCCAATTTAAAGTAAGTTGGGCATCAAACTCCTCATGTTAGTCAGATTGACATCAAATTTTGCACAACGTACAAAATTGAGCATATAATTACGTAGTTGAGTCTTATAGAAGTACAGACCAATCCCAATGGATGACCTATTTATATATACTTTTGTCCCATTGCAACGAACAAATGACATGTTTATGGATAGATTTAGGTCGTTTCACATTTAGATAAATATCACATATTTTATTTCATCCAATTTCATGTTAATAGTCCTGCTTAATATACCCATAGTGGTGAAGGGTATCATATAGTCAGCCCCGTCCGACTTTACTACTTTCCTTACTGGTTTTTAATTTCTCTCCATGCAACGCATAATTATTTAGGTCTATTAGCATAAAGCGAATGCATCTAAATGCATATTTAAACCAATTCATTTGGATTCATTTGTCATTACATATTAATGTAAATTGCCGATATTATTTGAAAAAAAATTCATTCGTCACACCTGATATTCAACATGCCCCACCACTAAAACATTTGTCGCTATGCCTATGCGAGTTTGTTTGTGGTCGAACTGTCGCCCCAATTTTCATTTAAAATAAATAATATTCATAATAATAACAACAAAACCAATAGGGATGCAGTTCGAGAGGAAGAGAATGCGCGCGGTCATCATCCCCTGCTACATGTTAAATCAGGTGTATAATGAATGCATTCTCGTTTAGCATATTTTCAAAATAAATTTGAACAGATTTAAATTAGGAATTATACAAAAAAATGGTGACAACAATCACACAAACCACAACAACCAAAAACAACAGCGAGGTCACATGCAACAAAATCGCACAAATGCACTACATATTGTCAAAATTAGGTAAATTAAAAATCCCATTGTAATT